TTTTTTTTTTTTTTTTTTTTTTTTTTTTTTTTTTTTTTTTTTTTTTTTTTTTTTTTTTTTTTTTCTGTTTTGCTTCCTATATAGGGTACCTTCTCTAGTATCGTTATATTCGCTAAACCCTAAACCCTAAACCCTAAACCCTAAACCCTAATAATGTGTCTATTTATTTTATTGTGTCTTTATATTTGTTTCTGTGTTTCCTATGGTATTCTTCCTTCTTTTTTGTTTTTCCCTGTTGCTCCTATCCTGCTACCGCATCAGCTGCTGCTGCTGCTGCTGCTGCTGCTGTATGTGCATGTGCATTTGCTGCTACTGCTGTTGCTGCTGCTGCTGCTGCTGCTGCTGCTGCTGTTTGTGCTGCAGTTAGCCCTACAATTAGGACGTGAGATGATGACAAGAGAAGATAATTTATCTCCTCGTTCTCTTTGTTCTCTTGCTGCATCTCTTTCTTTGCTGCAAGTTCGTGATCCTTTGCTGCAGCAATTTGTATGGAAAGAAGTGCAGCAGCAACTGCAGCACCTGCTGCCACCAGATCTATGCTTGCTGCTAGAGGCTATGAGGAGATGGGGATCCTATAACAGGAATACATGCGATTTGCTGCTGCAAAGAATGACGGAAGAAATTCATACTTTTACTGCAGCAGATGTTACTTCTGCTGTCACCGCTATTGCTAATATGGGGTAGGGTTTAGGGTTTAGGGTTTAGGGTTTAGGGTTTAGGGTTTTATGGTATAGGGTTGGGGAGATAGGGTTTTGTGTTTAAATTTCTGTATCTAGGGTTTAGGGTTTAGGGTTTAGGGTTTAGGGTTTAGGGTTTAGGGTTTGTATACAGGTTAGCTCGTGGCTATTTATTACGTCAATTATGCTCATTAGCCTTTGAGAATCTTCATAAATTTAAGCAGCAGCAGCTGCTGCTGCTGCTGCGCGGTCTTGGTCGTCTGCGCTTCCTTACTAGGGATAATACAGATGCATTGCTGCAGCACATGAAGATTGATAGCAGCACGCTGCAGCAGATGCAGCAGCAGCAGCAGCAGCATCAAGTGCAACAGCAGCAGCAACTGCAGCAGGTGCAGCAGCAGCAGCAGCAGCAGGAATGGACCCCTCATAGAAGTGCTATGCTTGTAGGGGCCCTTGCTCTATGCGATGTAGGGGCCCCCCATGGGGGCCTCGCGGATTTATTATCTAAGCTGCTGCAGCACGTGGATAATGCCCTAACAGCAGATGCAGCAGCAGCACGTGCAGCAACAGCAGCAGCAGCAGCAGCAGCAGCAGAAGCTGGTGCTGCTCCTCCTGTTGCACAGCCACCGCTACTAGGCATAGCAGCACTAGTAGAGGCAGCATTAGGCATTTGTTACTTCCAGCTACAAGGTAATAACAAGGACAAATAAATAAATTAATTAATTAATTAATTAATTAAATTAAATAAATAAATAAATAAATTAATTAATTAATTAAATGAATAAATAGAGGTATATTGTTAGTGTTATGTATTTGTTTTCTTGTTGTTGTCTCTTTTTTATATTTGTTTCCTTCCTTTATATTTATTTCTTCTTCTCTTTTTATTTATTTATTTGTTTTATTTATTTATTTATTTATTTATTTATTTATTTATTTATTTATTTATTTATTTTCTTATTATACAGACAAGGCGGATTTATTGGCGCGAATATTAAATTCAATATACAGCAAACCCCCATCAAGAGACAGGCAAGAATTATTTATTTATTTATTTATTCTTTTTTTTTCTTCTTTTTTCTTCTTTTCTTTCTTTTTCTTCTTTTCTTTATCCCTCTTTCTTTGCTTATTCCTCTTTTATGCATTTATTTATTAACGTAGTTATATGCATGCAAGAGAGTACCATCATATAAATATTTTATTTATTTATTTATTTATTTATTTATTTATTTATTTATTTATTTATTTATTTGTACAGAAATTTATTAATGAAGCTCTATGAGGTGCAGCAAACAGTAGACCTAAAAGAAATAAATAGCAGCAAACTGCAGCAGCAGCAGAAGCAGCAGCAGCAACCGCCGTTAGGCTGGAAGACAGCTATGGACGAAGCTGGTGAGTAATATAAATAAATAAATAAATAAAATAAATAAATAAATAAAATAAATAAATAAAATAAATAAATAAATATAAATGTATATATATATTGCATCTCCATACACGGTGAGTAGTTGGATGTGCTGCTGCTGCTGCTTGTTGCATGCATGCTGCTGCTGCGGTGTGCATGCGTGCTGCTGCTGCAGCACGTCTGCTGCAAGACCGTCAGGAGACCAGTGGTCTGCATGCAGAAGTAGCAATGTGCTTAGAGTTGCTGCGGGGCCCATATAGGCTGCAGCTGCAGCGCAACGGCAGCTGCAGCAGCAGCAGCAGCAGCAACAGCAGCAGCAGCTATCTTGTTGATTTTATTGATGAAGAAAATAAAATATGTATAGATGTAGATACGGTGTACAGACACTCCAATTTAACCCTTAAACATAGGTAAGCCAAGCCCTAAACCCTAAACCCTAAACCCTAAACCCTACGAAATACATAGTTTAATTAAATAAGGGTTTATACATATATTAAACCCTAATAATTAATCAGCAATAGAGCAACAGGAGGGCACAGATGCATACATGCATCTGCATGCATGCATCTGCATGCATGCATCTGCATGCATCTGCATGCGCATGCATGCATATTTAACACAGTAAAAAAGGAGAAGGAGGGTTTGTGTCTGTTGGGGTGTACAGACACCTCTCCCTTTTAGGGTTTGCGCCTGTCTGTATTGAATATTGGCAATGGCGACGCTGTAGATCAGAGGTAAATTCTTCTTTTCTTTCTTTTTTTCTTTTTGCATGCATTTTTTATTTTATATTATATTTTCTTCCCTTTTCTTCCTCTCTTTATCTCCTCTTTTTTTTTTTGTTACTATCTGTCTACATCTTTTGCATGCAGCTGCTTCATTCATAAAGAAACAGGGTTTAGGGTTTTTAGGGTTTAGGGTTTAGGGTTTAGGGTTTTCTGTTTGTGTTGCTGTAGGAGGATCAACTCCTTTATCTAAGACAGCGCCTCGCGCCAGCCCTAAGGAAACGCGGCCTCTTGCAGGCAGCTTCTGTCTAGGGTTTAGGGTTTAGGGTTTAGGGTTTAGGGTTTTAATGTAAGTAAAGGAGCGAATGTTTTATAAACAATGACTTTATTAAACAGAAGAAGGAAGATGAATTATTTTTCGAGTGTACGTACAGCTAAGGATGCATGCAATAAATAAATAAATACTTTTTATCTTTATTTAGGGTAAACAACACCTTTTATTATGTTTGTTGCCTTATACGGGAGGGAGAAAAGAAGAAAAAATAAATAGTTTATATATTTATCTAATCCCTTTAGTTATCTATACACCAGCTAGTCAAGCAGCAAGAAGAGGCAAACAACTTTCTTTCTTCTTATGTTGAGCTCGGTACAGTCACAGAAAAAGATTGTTAATACCTTCCATCTCCTCCCCTTAAGGAGAGGTATTGAGAGGAAAAGTAGCTTAGGTGTATGTACTTCCCTTAGAGGGGAATGAAGCAAGGACAAGTTGCTGCAGTCCGTGCTTTCTTATTTGCTTTTCCTCTACCTGCTAGATGCATATATTCTATAGAGGCAGTGATTGCTTTATTTAGCCCTAGTACTCGTGAGAGTAAACTCCTTAGGCAAACACGACTAAATAGCAAAAGGAAGGGTATAAGGTGGTGGTGGTTCGAGGTTAGGGCGAGGTGTGGTGGAGGGAAGAGTTTAAATAAAGCTAGCGGCAAAGGTTGTTAAAAAATTAATTTTAATTTATTTACCAATTAAGAAACAAATTTCATAAAAAGACAAACAATTAAAAACTGCCGAGCGATCGGCTTTTGCCGCTACCGTTGGGTTCATCTGGGGTGTACAGACAGCTTGATGGAAGCGAGTCGGCGGTGGAGGGAGGTGTTAAATCACTAGATTTTCTTATAAAATTAACATATTAAAGGGAAAAATGAATAATAATAACATAATTTTGCATAAATATATAAAAATAAATAGATTTTTATGAAGATTTCTCTGCATGCAGAGCACTGAAACTTCCCTTGAGTCTCAGCTTCTGCTCTTGTCCATTCGTGTTATGACAATAAAATCACGAGTTAAAGAATATTTTATTTAATTTTGATGTTTAATAATTAAATTCCTTCATTTATGCTTCCTGCATGCAGCTATTTACCGTTTCCTGCCTCCGGTAACTCTCCTCTTTTCTTCTTTCTTGCAGCTTTTGTCTGCCGTTGTTCTCCTCCACGGATTTCTCTCTTTCTTTCCTTTCAACTCCTATAAAATTACCTCTTCTTACATAAAAATAAATATAAATAATCATTTAATCATCCCTAATAGCTGATCTTTAGGGTATTTCTTCCCCCTTTACCACCATTTGTTGCTGTATATATAGAAGAATTGTCGATGGTCTTTGGAGTTCTTATTGCTGCACCAGGCGATCCTCAGCCCGTCTTTTCAATCTTTTATACACCTGAAGGAAATGATTCTCTCCGTCATGTTAGGCAGCAAGTAAGTAAATATTTATTTATTTCTTTTTTTTCTTGTGTATATAAGATAACAATAATATCCTTTATAGTGTCTATGCATGCATGCATTATTATTATTATTATATTATATATTTATTTCTTTTTCTTTTTCTTTTTTTTTTATTTAGGCAATTGTACGTCGTGTTGCAGAAGACCATTCCTTTCAGCTGCAATGCATGCGCGGGCAGCAGCAGCAGCAGCAGCAGGGAGTTGAAGGAGGAATTCTTTTAGGGAAAAATAAAAATAATAATCAAGAAGAAATGCATGCAGCATTTGGTACTGCTGCTTTCTTAGGCGCTTCTTCAGGTCTACGCAGAACAGCAGCAGCAGCAGCAGCAGCAGCAGCAGCAGAAGCAGACACGAAGAGCAGCAAAAGGTATAAGACACTGTGTGTTATACAGCACACATAATATATATATATATATT